GGGTATTACCAGGTGCCGCGCGAGCGAGGGGGGGGGTGAGTGTACACCACCCCAATAATTGGAATTTTTTCTTTTTTTTCAGCGACCAGAGCAGATTTGGACCGAATTTTGTGTTTTTTTAAGAAATTTTGCTCTAAGTACTCCTTTACACCCCCCAAAAATTTTGACAATATTTTAAAACCCACTACACTCCCCCAATGTTAGATCCTTCGCGCGGCCTCTGGGTATTACACTTTATTTAACTCTTCAAATCACAAATCGCACCGATTACATATAAAGCACACGCTTAAATACTCAACCATTTGAGAGAATGAAGAAGAAAGATATATAAAGACAAATGTAAAGGACAGAAAGATAGAGGCAATAGGTGTGATGAGAATAGATGGCATCATAAGATCAAATATTATGTATATGTTACAATCGAACGAGAGCATTACACCCCCGGATGAAATTTGGGCGATCTCCACATATAACGTTACACTTGTGTTTTTTAGATCTCCAGTCGATAGAACTCGAAGAACTACCGTCACCAGCAAAATTTGACGTTGCAGTTGAACTTCTATCATGACAAAGTAGAGAGATAAATGTCTGTTTACATAAAAAATGAGCACTTTAACCCCAAAATTGCGGTTTTTTGCTTCAAGATGATTTATTTTGGGTGTAAAAAATTTGGATTCGTAGAGAAAATGAAATTCTGAGTTAGAAAAAGTATTTTCCACTAAATTTTCTAAAACAGTTATTTTTCGAGGGGCCAAACAATCAAAAGAAATGATGTCTTGATTGTTTGAATGTATTGACGCATCTAGTATTTGCGGGGGGAGGATGGGGGGGGGGCAAGGACCAAAACTGGCATTGCCATTTTTTTCGAAATAAATCTGAGATAAATGACAATTAGTCACCCCATATTCAAACCAAATGGAATAAATCGATTCTGAAGAAGTTCAAAAATTTGGTCTGATTCACTCTCATTTGTTAACGAATTCATATGAATGTTGCTACAATATTTTTTTATTTTTGATATGTTCAATGTATGATATAATCAATTGTTGATATGTATTTGAAAAATCCAATTTTGGTCATCTTGCTTGCAATTGATACAAAAGCATTGTCAGATTTATGTGAAACAAACATTATTAACATAAAATACATTCACATTTGGATAGTAAAAAGTTAAAGCTACATTTTACGACAGAGAAAAAAATAAAACTAACTTAGGAGTAATCTGTTCGCTTCCTTTTTCCTTTCAGAAAGGCAACGAAAGAAAAGGGCCACTTCTACACTAACGTAGGTTGATAGTTACCTCATACTCAAACAACATATAAAAATGTTTCTTTTTTTTAGTGAAATAACATTTTTAGTTTGATACTATGAAATGCGCAACGTTGATTTCATAATTGGCACTAATTCACCAATATCCTCTGGTGACAATGTTCGCAATATATTATTTCGCATTTGTTCGTAAACTACTTGCCATGATATGACATGACGAATGAGTTCACTAAATAAATCAACTGTTTTTTTGTATCCATGCGTTGTTTCCATGTATTTCCACAATAGTTCTGTGTAATCATTTTGAACGTGATGTGCAGACATTATATCATTGAGCAATGGTTCATCATGATCACTGATTACAGAAAAACCTTTTGTAAGAATAAGTATAATAACTGTTAATTCAATGATTTTTCGATCCTGTTTCGCTATATTTAAAAATGCACCAAAAATCTTTGTTGTTTGCATACTAATATTATAGCCGTGAAGTACTCGAAAATATTGTACATTTGATGGTAGATCAGACTCACTTTCAATGAGTTGCTTAGTTTCTATATTATATGAAAGTGCGCTGTTGATGCCAAGAACTGTCAAAAGATTATATTTAATTAAAGTAACTTTATCATCAACATTTAGTTGATTAAATTCAGGTATTTGTTTGAAGAATGACAAAAGTCGCATGACTGATACTGAATGACTATTGAGAACGTCCAAAAATGTTTGTGCATGCATCGATGGATCCCATGGGAGACCATTACGTGCCGCTAGGATACAAATATAACCGAGATGAAAAGGAAAAAGATTCACGAAAATACTCGCTCACCAAGCTCGATACGATTTTGATAAAAACGTGATATAGTTTCTACACGCTGTAAATCTTCCGGGCTGAGTAATGTCTGCTGTGGCTGAATTGATAGGAGATCGGTAAAATCTGTGAGAAGAATATCTGTTTCTGTGAGCATAAGTAACTGAAAATAATCAAAGAGTAGGTAAATGAAATTATTATTTTTTTAATATTTTTACGTCGTCCAAAAATGTGGAAGATGACAATTGAAATTCTTGTTCGTTTGTCTTAGGATTTGAATGCAATGCTAGATTTCGATTTTCTTCTATTTGACGACGTTTTGCTGCTTTTTGTTCAGCCTAAAATTTAGTTTTATGAAAGATTTTTCTTTCGTGTAATTGATACCGTCAAAAGTCGATCACGCTGCATTCCACCATTAAAACATTTGGCTAAACGACAGGCTGAACAGTTACGGCGTGTTTGAAATGTTATTTGACAATCATCTTTGTAGATACATCGGAACGTAGCCTAAATAAAAAGAAACATACAGAAAACAAATGAATTGTATATCATCTTTACTGTTTGACTTTGAAATATAAAACGAAAACCAACAGATAGCTTATGTCTTTATGTTCCTATCAACGGTGAAAATGAAATAAAGTTTTCGTAAGATACTTTTCAAGCATCTTTCCATTCGAGAAAATATTTTGGTCTTTCTTCTATCTCCATAGTTTTTTGCTTAAGCTCTAAAACAGAATTCGATACAGAGTCGAGAAAATATTTCATATTTCACAAAAATACAATTATCTGTGGATTTTTCGAATCTTAATTCTTTCTTAATTTTGATATTGTATTCCTGGGAATTCTCGAACTGTAGAGATTAATAACTTTAAAAAATATTTACACGTACAAATCAATTGTTTTATTCAAATATGCAGGTCAAATGAAAATTCGATGCATCATACTTTTCGATTTTCAAATGCAGAGTACTCTCTTAAAAGTTTTAATCTAAACACCACAAACAAAATGTAATTTTTTCCGAAACTTACAGGGTCTTTTCGAGCATTACGACGAAAGAAAGCCTTACAACTTTCGCATACAATTGCACCAAAATTGTATCCACTTGCTGATGACCCACAAACAACACAAGTCAAAGAGCCATCCTTAGTTTTATTCTTTTCACATGATGATTTTGCCTTGCTCTGGAAAAAAATACATTGTTTTTCTCTATCGAAATAATCTAATACGAACCTGTTTATCAGGCTTTTCACTATTGTTATCTTCGGACGTAATAACAATTTGTTTTAATAATGGCACATTGCTGTTTTTTTCAATCTGATCAAGAATATTTTCATCAGCGGCAATAATCATTATTCGTTGTCGTTTTGGACCTGTTGGTGGCCATGCGTTAGATGACATGATTGGGAAAATTTATTTTATTTTTCTAAAAAAGTCAAATTTCCAATACATTCATATCGTCTAGAATCTGAAAAGTACGTATATCTAAACATCGTCACTTCAAATGATTAACATAAAGATAAATTCAGTCAGTTAAAAGTGTAGAAAACGCGACAAAACAATACTGCTGCCGTTCAACATAAGCACACAGGTGACGGATTCACAATGACGATACAATCGAAACGCATGTAGTAATAAATAGATACCATAAAAGTGGATTACAAAACAAGACGATTTATGGAAATAGAGCCAATACTTTTTTCAACTCCGTGACGATGTTTAATTTGTTTTTTCCTTCATTTGCATTAACTCTTGACATTATAAAGATTTTACAATATTCTCGATGAGATATAGAAAGAGTGACAGTTCAGCATATGATGTAAATACAGATCGTATCAGACAGATATGCAGCTATCGAAAGGACAGCAAATTTTAAACTATTTCTTAACACTACACAAACTTGATTAAATTATTCTCAGAAACTATCAATAATATTTTTCTTCAAATATTCATACCAGAGAATATTAATAAACTTATGATCACGTCTAAACTCATCTACATACAAATCATTTTAAATTTTATGAGATTCTATTTCAACAATTATTCTTCGTATAAACAAACTTATTGTAGAAATGAAGATAAATTTCGCATTGACACAAAAACGAAAGATCGATTTCTGACCAATCAAATTTGGAAAACGTTCAATCTAGTTGAATTTAGAAAAAGTCCCAAGTCATATGCTGATATGAATGCTAGTGTATATATATATACAAGGATCATAAGATTATATCAGAACTTTATAGGAGATTAGCTATCTACAAAATTTCTCACAAGTAATTATTCGTACAACTCAAGAGACAGATATAAACGAACAATGTCAAGTAAGGGGGCAGCTTCTTTAAAAATATCACAGATGTATTTCGAGACTTGTATAATTGGAATTGTTCGAATAATGATTTGTGAGAAAACTATATGTCACTTGTTTCCTATAAAATTTTAATGTGGTCTTGAGATAATCACTGTTTGTAATATATTCAGTGAGTACATACCAACCACCGATACAATCACATTGATGATCGTTCAATAATAAAGATTAGAATTACCCTTTCGGTCATAACAATATTGTGGATATCTATGAACTGACATTGAAAAAGAAAAATAGCAATATAAAAAGTGATTGTGAGGAGAATCAACTGTGTTCATGTCATCGTGATTGATTTGATTTGACCTAAACAAAACAAAAAATAACAGAAACGATTGAAATTAGAAAAGAACTAGGTGACTTTTCATGTTGCCATCATCGCTTCATTGCAGGGGCGGCGGAGCGTAATTAAGCTAGGTGAGGCTCATAATTTTTTTTTTCTATCTTGGAGTTTAATGTAAGCATCAATCAGAAAATAAGTCTTCTTTTTATTGAACTTCAGAAAAAATTAAAATGGTCTCTATAACAAAAAGATTTGAAAATACCAAAAATTTCTTTTCTTTGCTGCTTCTTTGATGCAAGAATAAAAAATAGCAATATTCAGTACAAAAGTAAGTGAGGCTGATAGCCTCATATGCTGAAAACTAGGTGAGGCTCAAGCCTCACCGGTCTCAGTGGCTCCGCCGCCACTGCTTCATTGGACAAAATAGAAACAGTGAGATACATAAAATACAAAATTGAATACCATAAAAATTGCCTACACGTTTCTGTGGATTCTCATTGATTGAAATAAAAAAACAGCGAAAAAGTGGATGAAAATTTAAAAAAATACTCTTATTATTAGTGTCGCTGTCACTGATGTCGAAAAAGAGAAACAGAACAGATAAAAATCGAATAAGAGAATAATTATACTACTTCGTAGTATTGTTGTGTATCTTAATTCAAAGGTGTCTTTTGATGGCTGCTCCAGTTAATATTTAACAGGAAAGGATGCATTTCATCAATCTTCTACGTTGTATATAATACGCAAAATTGTACTATTCTCGTACGCATGCTATTTTCAGCTTTTAGCAGATCACTATTAGTAATGAGAGAGTGTTAGTAAACAAATCCTCGAGTGATATTTCTTCTATTTTGCTCTGATTTATTTATTTTTCTTCATCTCCGTCTCGTTCTCGACATATATGTATCTAAATTGAGCCGAAAACAGGAAGAATGTGCACTAGCAATTTAAAACAGAAAAATAAATTAAAGACAAGATGATGAAAAGACCAGTCAAAATTGTCTAACTATAAATATAGATTAAGAACTAAAAATTTCAGAAAAGACATTCGAGAAGCAATGATAACTAGTAGATGAATTACATAAAACCTAAAATATCGAACAGAAAGCTTCTGATCAAGGAATACTCAATTACCCCGATGATGTTAAGCATTAATTTGTGAATTATACGATTATCTATAAGAGACAAACGTATTATTTTATTTTCTAGGATGAATCATTTCTTTTACTAAGAAGATAATTTTGGAACTTTATTTGAAACTGTTGAAATATTTCAGGATGTATGAAACAGAAAAATAATTTACTAGATATTTTAACATTGAAATAAAGAACAATCTCATCTGCACGTGCTTTTGACCTGAACATAAAAAATATTAACGTGTGAGAAAACTAAACTGCTCGAAACATATTAACGTATTTTTGTTTCCATTAATATAAAGCTACATCGAGACTTTGTTTCGATGCGTTGTATTCGTGTGAAATTTATTCGCTCTCAATATTATTGTAAATTTGAAGAACTAAAATACACTTACACTGGTTCAAAAAATCTTCATCAATTGAATCATTTCGTAACATTACATCGATTATCAACAAGGACATTGACACATACAATTAGTAATCTTTTTACTTGGCCTAGTCTCTTTTTTTGTTGTTGCTTATTACGAGCAGAAAAAAGAAAACTTTTACTTTCATTCTATCGGAGTATCAGTGAAAAAATGTGATGCGGAGAATAACATGCAAGCAGAGTGAAGATGCAAAACTTACGACTGTTTGGATAATTTATTCACCAGTTACAACAGAATGATGACTAAAGCGCATACTTTTTTTCTTCTTTTTCTTTGAGTCATCCGGTCTTCTGATTCATCGGTACGTATACATACGCATGCTATCAACCGATGATAAAAAACACGTTTTTTATTATTAGTTTTTACTCATAAAAAGATTCCGTATCTAGTAACGATATAAGGAAAAACACGATGATGATATAGACGACATGTCTAGTGCAAAACGTATGAATACCCCCGTCAGGTCTCATGTAAAAACTTTGACGCATTCATCATGACTAACCCATATTTCACCAAAAAATAGCCAACTGCCAAGTGTAGGCTGGTCAAAAAAACTAAGTAACATATGTTTTAACTAGAGAAATCACGCGTCGATTGCTAGCAGTTATTTACAGTTCTGATTCCATAGAGTTTAGAAGTCTTTTTGAACTCCGAGTGTACTTTTGTTTTGTCATGTCTGTTGGTGCCATTTATTTTATTATTCTCTTGTGATTTCAAATGATATATCCTATTATCTTGCCGGTAATCAAGAAAAATATGCACTAACCAGAGCTATTGGTAAGTTTGAACAAGATAGTGTATATGCTATTCATTGAAGAACTAATTGGAACATTTGTATCTGCTGAAGTCAAATCTAAAGTATATGACGAATAGTTTGAACTCGTATTAAAAAGACCATATGATAACCATCTAAAACGTGTAAAACGTTTTAGAAAGCAAAATGTTCTGTTAGGTGACTATAAACTTTGAAAGTATCTGGACTACACGAACCGAAGAAACGTAGAGTTATCAGAAATGAGAAATGTGTTAGAGAGTTCAAGAACTAATCAAATGGTTCAACTGACTCAAAATTATAGATATGTAACACATAATCTTCACATATTCTGATCTAAACTTCATCACTACCTCTCAGTAATTTAGATCGTTTTGGATGCCTACTGCTAATAGATACAAGACTAATCGAAGACCAAGCCAATTCGTTTCGACTCGTGAATATATCGGATGATCGTCATAATGTCTAGTCTTTGTATCAAAAAGTCCCAGTACTTGACTGATTAGTAGTTCGACAACCAATTTCATCTTGTGGGTGTAGATCTGATGAAAAGACCAACACTCACTTAGTGATACCCGCACCATCAAGTTCCAAAGGTTTATTTTTCATATCCAAAGTTAGGATATTCAAGCGAGAAACTCTCCTAATTTTAATAAGTTGAAAATTAAAATCTCAACTCTAAGGTTTCTGTTTTCTTTTTAAGAATTTGAAAATTTTAGAAGAGCGTTGGTTCGAGTATGAGTGTAGATTTGTGCATGTGATTGTAAGCGTGTGTTCTATCACTTATATCGTCACCCGCGCCCTCAAGATTGCTGTATTCGTTTTATTATAGTGCGCCTATTGAATTGACTACTGTTTATGTTCATTTCGAGACACCTATAATAAAAAATTAAGCAAATTATCTGCAATGAAACTTTTTCGTTTTTGTTTGGGAATAGTGTTTTATGCATTAAAATGTTCCTTTCAAATAGAGAAATATTTTCTCTTCATGTTTGAGCATATCAATATGGATCAGTATGCAGCGCTCAAGTAAAATACTTCATTCAATTTTTTTCAGGTTGATATTATGAAATGGTTGATGTTAAATGATTCTAAGTGTTAAGAAAAAAATAGAAAAACATTCCTATGAGAGACGTAAACAATGATTAAGAGAACGAGAGAAGCGCAGTTCATCTTGTCAAAGCGCACTTTTCGGTTCTACATTATGTCATTGAAGAAAAGTACTTTTGTGACTCACAAGTTTTTCAGTTGACCTGCAAGTCAGAAAAGTATGCTATTATCAGCGCGTACGACAGAATGAAAAGACACATATAAAAAAGGAAACTCTCGCTCTGCAACTCATTCTATCTTTAGGAATAATAGAATTTTTGTGCCTTGGCAGTTATATATCCCTCTAGAAAGTAAAAGCTACAGACGATATTTCAGCTCTTTTGACATGCGCAGAGCACAGCTAGAGAAAAAGCAATTCTACCAATCAATATCACTTAGAATCCTCTAGGAAACTATGTATTTTTGATTGTATCTTGCTTTTATCTTCTGAAAAAATTAATAAAATGAAATGAAGACACTTCATAGTGAGATTCTTCCGATTGTTTCAATTAGTACGGTGCATGGATCATCACTTAGGTAATCATATTTTGAAAGAGTAAGTAGATATTCAATCGTTGTAGGTTCTTATACTAGACGTCGTCCATTCAATAAGGTTTGTTTTTAGTAGGCATATAACAGTTTTCAGATCCGAGAGCTGTTAGGATCTTTAGAGTGTGGGTCTGCTGGAAAAGACCGACACCCTGATTAACGATAATTTTTACAAACAATAATAAATTGTTTTACTTTGACGCCTTAGGATAAATTCAATTAAAAATATGATTACTTTATTTGTAGAGCACTTTTTTAAACCCTTGACAATCATTTATTAATTGTTAGTCAATTTATTATGTCTAATGGAAACATATCACTCAACTATACATCAGGAGGTGCTAATGATCCGGTAAATCCATTTCATTATATGCCTTCAATGGCTGCCGCCGTCGTATCTCTAGTCTTCTACATGCTGTTGTTCGTTGTTCTCACGAGTTGGACGATCTGGAAACGAAGCTGGTACATGATTACACTTTTGATTGGATGCATTATGGAAATCATTGGCTACGGGATTCGTATTCACCTAGCATCGAATCCATTCGGACAAATCCCTTTATATTCATCTATGCATGCTAGTATCATCCTTGCGCCTATATTAAATGCTGCCGTCGAGTATGTTTTAATTGGTCGGTTAATGCATGCTGTAGGTGATCATTATTCTTTGGTCAAACCGAAACTGGTTGCCTGGATTTTTATCGTTTGTGACATTATCTCAATGTTAGTTCAATCAACTGGTGCTGGGATACTCACCTCAGCTGGAACGAATTTAAAGAATTTAGAAACTGGAGAGAATATTCTTCTGGGTGGTCTTGGTGTCAATCTCGCCTCATTTACGCTATTTTGTTTACAACTCTTCTATTTTGACTATCTTACAAGAAAGTCACCTCCCGTTTTTCTAAACGGTAGTATCTATCAGAGACGTTGGCGACTATTTCTTTATGTAATCTATATCAGCAGCTTCTTCGTGTTGATTCGACAAATCTATCGTGTAATTGAATTTGCTCAAGGCTTCACTGGTTATTTAGCAGTACATGAAGTCTACTTTTATATCTTCGACACTATACCGATTTTCGTATCCGGTACAGTCTACGCTGTTTTTTTCCCTGGCAATGGTTATTTACCACGAAACACAAATGAAACGTTCGCAATTATGGAGAACAATGAACAGAATCTAAAACAATCGAATAATAACAATAACAACGTTAGCGCTTCTCGGAAGGATCTTGTTCTTGATGGTATGTCCTAAACTGTTGACATGTGATTATAATGATTATTATCATGTATATACATTGATATTATATTGTCTTTTAATGCACATATTTCGTCTTTGTTCTTATAAATAAAAATAAAGTAAAACTCCAATGTTAATGTTGTCCACTATGTGATCTTTTGACAGAAATATATGTATATTCACTTTCCAAATATGGGGTGTGGGTGTTGTTGAAGAGATTATACACCATCAAACACACTCACACCCTTCTGTGCTTAATAGAAATAAAATAGAAAAATTCTCGTTTATTTGAGGTATGTTCAGATTTCTGAAAAAGTAAATTCCAGAAAATAACAAATATCTGTCACACTATTAAAAGAAACACAAGCGTGCCAACAGAACTTTCCTTGAAACTTCCCAAATTGCCATTACGCGCAAAAGAAAATGATCAGAAAATACCATAATTTCAAATCTCACCCAACAAAACATCCTGAGAATTTCTGAAATCAGCTTCACATACAAAAAGAAATTTCCCATCAATTTCCAAGAAATTGCTTAATTTTGATTTTGGCTTATGGTGAATAATATTGGGATAATTGCGAAAGTTTCTGATATTTTCTAGAACTTGAATTTTTCATCTCTATAGTTTCCGAAATATGCATATTTAGCTAGGAAATTTCCTTTTTTGGAAATCTGCTCACTGCTGAATATATTATGCTTTATCCAAGTCATATCTATCTCCTCATTGAACTTGAAAATCAACTAATAAAACTGTAAATGTTGTAAACGGCAACGAAAACTGTTGAATTTCTTTTAAAATAGTTTCTTGAATTTGTGAAGAAAGATATCAAATCCATCTATTTTTACATCTTATAATCAGTGAAATCCAATAAATTGATGTGAAAATAACTTCTTCTTATCTATTTCTTTTAGTTGAATCAAAAATTGAACCATATATTTAGGTTTGGGTTATTGTTGCCTTCGCTTGATATTTATACAAAATAAATTATATTTCTGGTCTTTCGAAGAACGTGTCTATTGTCATTATAAGACTCATCTCTGTGCCAGAATGCCAAAATTGAAAAATCGATTTTTATGAGAAAATATCTCACAAAGGTTCTATCGGATGTCTTGCAATGCCTGAAGCCTCACATTGTGAAGCTAATTTGTTTATCAACAAAATCCTCAATATATTTCTAGAATTGTGCAAAACGCTACTATTTCAGATTCTTTTGCAATTATTTATTAGATTTTTGGCAGAAAAATTAAGTAAGAGAACAAGTGAGAAGAATATCTTGACAAAGACTATAGTAATCATTATCTTCTGAGATCTTAATTTTGGCAAAATAACTTCACACATTTGCCTATGAAAATCATACAGAACTGATTGGTTTAATGCAAAATCACAATTTAATTTAGATCAGATTATATTGATATCTTAATGTTCGAAATGAAGTTTTTATCAAACTATCCAGTGCACTTGAAATTCGTTGTTCACCTTTCGAATGAAATCTTTCATAACTTCTACATTGAACAGCTTTGATATATGTCAAATAAGTAAGATGAACACAAAGCGTTACGAAAGTTACCAAGTGATCTTGTCTACTTGCGACGTAGACCATATGAGTGCAACCATAATCTGTATAAATTCAAGAGGATACTGTTTCTTGACGATGATACACATGCGGATCACAGGCTTGAGAAAAATGACAAATTTCAATGAAACTCAAATCTATTTTGTAGTAATTAAAATGATGTTCCTGGCTCATGGTATGTCTCATTGAAACTGTTCTGTCTAATACTGAATAATTAAATTTTAAATTTCAGTAACAAGGATTCACATTTTTTCCTTTTATATCCTATTCTTTGAGTTCTATACTATACAATATGTCTTCAACGATTAAAACCCATCATTTTTTGTATATTTCATTTTTTCTATGAATGAGCAAACGCAGGCTACAAAACTCTTAGAAGAATTCATCAGTCCTTTTTTGTCAAGAGCAAGAAATGAAAAATACATGTACAACATCAAACAACTTTGGTTTCTTAAGCAAACAAAAAGAAAAAACCTCTATTTGTGATGTGACCATTAGAAAAGCAACGCAGTCAAGGACTAAAACGTTTCAAATAAATAATAAGTCAACAATGAATGTTTTAGATAGATGCGCATCATTCTATAATTCAATGGATTCGAGACAACTTCCAAGTTTTCCTTATCAACTGTCTCAATGAACGCGTGATTTAATGATAGTCTTAGTCTAGTTAATTGAACTTGATCGGAAATAACCTTAAAAAATCTTCAAATTCTGGAGTAGACACACATGTTCCGAAAAAACTTCAGTTTTCGACTTCCAACTCAATGAAATATTAAGTATAACTCTTTTCAATTTTCTTGGAAAGTTTCAATTTCTTATTTTTTTTAAACAAGAAAGAAAGAAAAGAAAACGTTGATTTTATTCTCTCGACAGGACACTTATTTCATTCAATTAACTACTTTTTAGAAGGTAAGCGAAAAAAATGAATTTTTTTTTAGTAAAAATGCAGAATGATCGAAGTAGTGACGAAGAAATGAGCTCATGCCGATTGGTAGTAATTTGAATTTTTGTTTTCAAAGTTTCGTTGGAGAAAAATGAGAAGTTTCTTCGTGTTTGAAAGTTGCCCAGCTGTCTTTCTCCACACGTTGGTGACTGTCGAATTTTCATTTATAGGAAAAGCTTATAAAATAACATCATTCACCTATTTGAAATGCTGATTTACATACACTAGTTACATATTAATTAAAGTAATATACAACCGGTCTATGACCATTTGTAAGTCGTTCTTATCAAGCACTAGAGAAAACATGCATCTTGAGATAATTAAAACTCAGGCATCTCTTTTCAGAACCAGTTTTTCAAAACTATCACTGTTGGAAAATACGAACTAAACTGAGACTTCACTTCACAGAGTTTCGTTACTCTTGAATCATTTCAATAAAAAGATACGTATATAGGATTTATGATTGACGATAAGGAGACAATGAAAGCATTGAGAAATATTTTAACTCGTTCATGCTTTTAGTCATTCTATTTCTCGATAAGATCGATATACGTTAGAGTTCGTTTTCTTGGGTGTTATTTTCTAGCCAATACTGTGTTTAAGACTATTGCATGCGATTTAGGTTCATAAATAATTTCTAAAGATTACCTGTAGCTGTAAATTTCGGTTGACTTCACCTATAACTCAACTGGCTTATTATAGTTAATTTAGTATTTCCAATAAGTCATGTAATCAACATTAAACGTTTTTGCCCCACAAAAATGTATTGAAATATATATTAATAGCTGTGACCAAAATATTCTTCAAAACAGAATATAAATTCATTACTTATGTTATTTTCATTTTCTTGGTAGATTTTTTTCATACACAATTTGGATACTACTATTTAAATGGGCTCCAACTTTTGTCGCAGTGCCGAAGTGAACACAAGCACACGTCCTGATAAGATATATGAACCTGAGAACGTTGAAAGTGTATGGTACGATGTGTGCCGTGAAGGAGATTTGGTAAAACTATTGGTAGTGATACCATATTTGACGTACGACCAGCTGAATCGAATAGAACCCAACGGAAGTACATGTTTACACGTCGCTTGATATAGGAACCATTCACTGATTGCACTAATACTCCTCTGCTGCGGGTGTGACCGAAACGCTAAAAACAAATATGGATTGACACCAGTTCAGGAAACCACTGATGACACAATTCGCACATATTTTACTTTGAATAGCACTATTATTGAGAGTCTGTGCAAACCATTTTGGACTAAACTAGAGGACGATTCATTTGCACCAAATAATAGGTTTATTATGGGACACTTAAATATTGACGAAGTTCAAGATGCCAAAAAGATGATGGAAGCTTATCGAGCAGTTGGATTGGAGAAAATGTATGTAACTGCTGAAGTTAGTAGTATGCAAGGGGGTAAGTGCTGGCACCCAGCACCCTGGCACCTGAGCACCTGCTCAGCACCTACTCAGCACCTCGGCACCTTTCCTGCACCTCAACACTTGTGGGTGCTGTGAGGATTAGAAAGTTAGAACATAAATATTAATTGAGGAATTGCTTGGAAATAGTGTAACACTATTCAAATTCGGGTTTTTGCTGCAGAAAAATACTGGCTGATGGTTGAAAATATTAAAATTTCATAAAGCAAATGTGAAAAATCTATATGGGCCATATGTGTGGTTTCTATCGCTTTGGGGAAGAGGAGAATTCTGTGCCAATATTCTGGAAGAAAATTTTTCATTTATCTTCACGGTCTAGTTAGACGTATCGTCATCGAAAATGACGTAAGATAACAATTAAAATCTTTTGTGACCTATAAAATGTGGAGAACCACATCATTTTTTAAGAACACCACACATACAAAGGGTGTCCCAGAATGACTGATAATAAATTGTTAATGGTATTTTTCATAGGTTTTCTTGAACTAGAGAGCTGAAATTTTTATTACATATATATTTAATAACGATTTTTTATTGCTGAAAGTTTCAGCTCTCGAGCTTAAACTACTGGTGAAAGATCGATTTTTGAACTCGATTTTTGCAATAATTTCATAACAACAATATTCAAAATTCCAGTATGAAAATTTATGTATTTCACTCTTGTCGAAGTATTTCACAAGTAGGTTTAGTTAGAGAGCTAAAACTTTCAGAAATAAAATATCTCTATTTGATATATATGAGATAAAAATTTTAGGCGTCTATGTCAAGAAAAGGTATGAAAAATATCATTAATAATTTATTAACAGTTGTTATGAGATACCATTATATGTGTGAGATGTTCCTAAAAAAAGAGTATGTTTCTCCATATTTTATATATTCCAAAAGGTTTTAACTGTTACCTTAGACCGTTTTCGACAAAGATACTCCTAGCTAGACTATTAAAATAAAAGAAAGTTTTTCCACAAAAATGGTATAAACCCCACGGATCCATCCACATACGTAAAGACGAATGTTTGTCTGTATGTTCATTATGCATTTGGACACCGTACG